TGTGTGTGTGTGTGTGTGTGTCTCTGTGTGTGTGTGTGTGTGTTGGTGTTTTATTTTGTGTTTTTGTTGTTTTTTGAGACAGGGTCTCATTAGATGGCCCCTGCTGGCCTTGAATTTGTAGTTTGTCTGGGCTCAGCCTCCTGAGCACCTGGGGTTACAGGTAGGTGCCACAACCTGGCTCCTGGTGCTGGGGATTGAACCCAGGGCCCCACATGTGTTAGGCACGCACTCTAGTACTGAGCTGCTCCCCCAGGCTGGGGGGACAAGTTCTTGCAAAGGGAAGAACTGAGTTCACTGGTTCCCACTTCCCATGCATGGAAACTGAGACCACCCAGCAATCCAAGAGCTATTGCCCAAGAGCCTCAGTGATTCATCCGGGCCCCACGTGCTCACCTAACGTGCTTGGTGCTGTCCAGCAGCGAAGCAGCCAGGAAGAAAACAGCATCCATTCCTTGGGGAGCTGACATTTCAGAGGGGGTGGACGATAAGCAAAAAGAAAGAAAAAAAAAAAAAAGGAAAATGTCTGACAATTCCTCAAAAATTTGAACATAGAACCACCCGATGAGCCAGAAATTCCGCTCCTAGGTATCCGCCCAAGAGAACTGAAAACAGGGAGTCAACAAATCCTCACACTCAAAAGTTCACAGCAGCTGAAAAGTGGAAACAACCCAAATACTCATCAACGGGTGAATGAATGAACAAAATATGGCCCAATCACACGGTGGAACATTACTCAGCCATCAAAAGGAGCAAAGTACTGACGCAGGCTGCCACATGGATGAATCTCAAAAAACATGATGCTGAGTGAAAGAAGCCAGGCCAGAGGCCGCAGGGTGTGGGAGCACATGGACAGGAAATGTTCAGCACAGGCAACCACAGAAGGCAGAAAGTAGATTAGGAGTTTCCAAGAGCTAGGAGGAGAGCAGGGCGTGATTTTATGAGAACTAGATTTCCTTTCGAGGGTGTTGAAATGATCTGCATCACATTAGGAGAGATGGCTTCACAGCATTCTGAATGTACTAAACCCTTGTGGGCCAGCGGCCCAGGAGGCTGAGGTAGAAGGATCATGAGTTCAAAGCCAGTCTCAGCAACTTAGCAAGGCCCTAAGCAACTCAGCAAGACCCTATCTCTAAATAAAATCTATATAAAAAAGTGCTGGTGATGTGGCTCAGTGGTTGAGCACCCCTGGGTTCAATCCCCAGTACCATAAAAAACAAAAAACAAAAAACAAAAAACACACAAAACAAACCCTTGTGGGATTGTAGACGTAGTTCAGTGGTAGGGTACATGCCCAGCAAGCACAGGTCCCTGGCTTCAATCCCTAGTTCCGTGAAAGTGAGAAATAAATGAATAAAAAATAAAATAAGGGCTGAGGTTGTGGCTCAGTGGTAGAGCGCTTGCCTAGTATGCGTGAGGCCCTGGGTTGGATCCTCAGGACTGCATGTAGATAAGTAAAATAAAGCCCATTTAAAACACTTCCTTAGTTGTCAATGGACAGCTAAGAAAATATTTTAAAAAATAAAATAAAAATTATTTTAAAAACACAGAATCATTTATTGTGGATATTTCATCTCAATTTTAAAAAGAAAAGTAAAGTTTGTTAGATGGGAAGAAAATTCAGACTAGGCTGGGGACAGAGAATGGGCCTAGGGGCTGGAAAACAGTCACTCTGATGGACAGCGACAGCGGTGAGGACTCGCCCTGAGCCCTGCCCCCAGGCACAGCGGGGTGGGGCCACCTGCCCGAGGCCTCGGTGCCCATATCCACTGGGCGCAGAATCCAGGGCGATAACAGGAGTTTTTATTTGACGTTGACCTGTGTATTTTATAGAGAAGCAAAAAGGACCATTGAGTGTACCCCACAGCTGGTCGGAAGCAGGGGAGCAGGTGAGGTCCCTGCCTCTGGGGCAGCTGTGCCAGCTGCAGGCCAGATGGTGGCCGGGCCTGTGGAATTGCCTGCTGTGTCCCTGCTTCAGCCTTTGCCAGGCTATAGGTCATCTTATTGGGTGCGGGGTGTGCAGTAACCCATGTGGGCCGTCACGGTCCCCGCCCCCCCCCTTCATCCAGAGAAGGCAACCTCTACAGTTTGGCCCAAGAACCCTGCAGAGAGTCCTGGCTTTGCTCGGCCTCACCCCCAAATCTCACCTGTCCTATTAGCTACACCTGCAAAGTGCACTCCAGCCAACACTACCCAGTCACCACCCTGGGACGAACACCATCAATTTTGGCCTGAATTGTTTGCCTCCTAATAAATCCCCAAATGTCAGAGGAGTTTGTTAAAGTCAGTGTTAATTAAGTCCCCTCTACTGAGATGGCCCCTGTCATTTCACACATAAGGATGTCTCCACAGTGACCCCTAAGACCCTCAGTGACACAGAGAATGCCTCCCACCCAGTCTCCCACCTCTTCCCTCTCCCTTGTTTTTGCTTGATAGGCAACTCTCCAGGCATGCTGATGCCTCAGGACCTTTGCACTTGCTGTCCCATGGCACATGGTCTTCGAGCACCCAGGGTGTCCAAAGGGCTGCAGGTCTATAGCACGCTCCGAGTGTGCACGCAGCCAGGAGCCCAGCAAACCTCTTCTTACTTATCTGTGGCTGTGGCTGTGTTCCTGACATGTGGGTCAAATCTGGATGTTATGAAGTGTGCGTGCATATGGACAGCATTGACTTCAACTCTAGTGTAGCGGGGGTGTGAGCTGGAGTTCTCTGCTGAGTGGGGTTTGCTGCCTGTGTGTAGTTCATCTGGAACAAAGGCTGCATGGTGGACCAACCTTGGGCGGACGAGGGCGTGTCTGCAGAGCTTGCTGGAACGTGAGCGGCTCATGCATGCATGCGTTCAGCATTATTCAGTGATGACTGTGCTGGAGAGGTCAGCAGCACCCAGTTTCTATCAACTCCCACAGTGTAATCTCCTGGGCATTTTACACAATGTTTGAGCATATCTGTGCACCCGGACCTCTGCAGGAGATGGATCAGTACTTGGACCCGGTCCTCCTTGCAGGAGCCCACTCAAGCAAGCCCCTTACACCCTCCTCCAGAGTCTCCAGCCCTGAACATCCTCTTCTCCTAGTGCTGACTCAGGGAGAGCTTTGAGCCCCATCTGGACTCCTGGTCCCCATCCGAGCGAGGTTGCATAAAAAAGCTCTGACTCAGAGAGCAAAAGTAAATCTGCTCAAGGCTGGAGAAAGGATCCTGGGAGCTTGGACCCTTCCAAGGCAGTGATTCTAGGCTTTCAATGAGTTTAGGGATGGAGGGTGTCCTTGAGAGCTCTGGATGCTTTCTAGGAGGGTGTGTGGCTGGGGTGAAGAGTTGGATTCGGCTCCACAGGGTGCACAGCAGGGAGGGATGAAAGAAGGGAGAGGAGGAAAGGAAGGAAAACAGGAACAAAGACAAAAAAAGGAAAGACACGGATGACATTGAGCCCTGGCTGAAGACTGGGGTGTCTGGGGTCTGGAGCTTTCCTAGGGCGCTGGGCCTGATGGAATGAACTCAGATGGTGAAAATGTGAGTTCGAAGAACCTATAGGCAGGGATTTGGGGGAGTAGGAAGGGGATTTGAGTAGAGGTTGGGGAGGTAATCTGATTGGGGAGACTGAGGTCTTAGAAACCACAATTAAAGAATGAAGAAGGTATGGTGGATCTGAGGCAGGTAACTGGCATCTGAGGGTGGAAGTTCTGGGAAGTTCTGGGTCTTTTAGAGAATAGTTGGGATCCAATAGTGTTGAAAGTCTAAGACCTGGCAGGGCTTGAGTTTCCACGTTTCTGAGGGAGGCCCGCGGAAGGGGTAAGGCTGGGAGTGGGGTGTGCGTGGTGGGGAGAGGGTGAGGTTGTCAGAGTTTAGGGACCAGTTTCTGCACGCCTTAGCTCATCCTCTCCCGCGACCCTACCCTTAGCCTCCTTCCCGGTCCCTCCCGGCTCTCAGCTCCTAGGTCTCACCACACCCAGCCCCACCCCAGCCACGCCCCATCCTCATCCCAGGCTCCGCCCACTCGCACCTCGCCCTCCCGCAGCTCCCAGACCTGGCCTTCCCCTCTTCAGGGCGGACCCCCCCTCACTCTCTCGCGGAGTCACTGAGCCTCCGCCCGCCCCTCCTCACTTGGTCCAGCCCCCCCGGCCCCGCCCCTCCTCTGCGAGTCGGACCCTCCCTGGTCCGGCCCCACTTGGGACCAGACCACGCCCTTCTCTGGTCCGACCCGCCCCAGCTCTGCCTATGGCCTTCTGATACCTCCGCTCCGACCCTCTTCAGACCTGGTCCCTCCCTTCATCTTGGGCCCCGCCACTCATCACCTGGCCCCGCCCCTCCCCCTGCCCCTACCTTAACCCTGCGCCGAGTCCCGACAAGGCCCCGCCTTCAAATAGGCCCCGCCCCTCCCAGCCCGCACGCGTCCCCCTGCCCCTCCTCAGTCTTGGCCCTGCCTCAATCCCTCACCTTTCACTTTGGGCTGGTTTTGGCCCCGCCTCCCCGAGTAGGAGGCCCCTCCCACAATGCCCCGCCCCCTCAACATGCTGAGCTCCGATCCGTCCATCAGACCACGCCCCCTCGTTTGGCTCCGCCCCAATATCTCGTCTAGGCACCGCCCCTCCTCAGGCCCGGCCCCTCTTCGCTCCCGGCTTCTCGGTCTACCCGGTCGGCGCGCGCGGCTCCCGTCACTCGAACGCGCGCGGCGGGAAGATGGCGGAGTCCGGTGGCAGCGGCGGTGGGGCTGGCGGCGGTGGCGGCTTCGGCGCAGGCCCGGGCCCCGAGCGCCCGAACAGGTGAGTTCCGGCCTGCGGGGTGGTCGCGCCTCTGGCCCGGAGCCCCGGAGATCTGTAGGAGTTCTGGGGTCCTGGGGGACGGTTTATGAGGTCGTCGGGTACTGTGTGGACCGAGGGCCTCTGATGGGGCAGCTGGAGGCAGGCTGGGCAGTCCAGGATCTGCACTGGGCCCTAGGCTCCTGGGGATGGCCCCGACCATAACGGGGTTGTGGGGGAACTGGGGATGCCACCGCGTCTAGGAAGCAGAGAGGGGTCGGAGCGGGGGCCACAGGCAATCTGGAGGGTGTTGAGGAGATCTTGGGGATCTGAGGAGGAGGTTGAGGCTGAGAGCTTCCTGAGGGGGGCTGAAAAACCCCAGGTAGCTAAAAGGGGTCCTGGGAAGGATGAGGCTCTGGGATACTGTGGATGGAGGATTCTAGTGAACCTGAGGGCCTAACCCGGGACTAAGGGGCCTGGAAAACCTGGAGAGGAGAGTCACTGGGAATCTGGGGTCCCAGTAGGTCCCAATAGCTAGGAAGGAGTCTGTGGGGACATAATGGTTCAAGGGATCCTGAGGGATGCAGGTGGGTGTTGGGGAGCAGAAGATTGCTAAAGAGCAACCAGGGTCTGCAGAAAACAGGGTTCTTCCTTGGAGCTCCTCCCTCCCATCTCTGGGTTTCAAATCCCTCCTCCTCTCAGGCTAAAGGACTTGATGCAGAGTCTTACCCCTAGACAAGGGGGCCAATTTCACCCATTTGATCAGAAGGAGGCTCCTTTCTCCATGGCCAAATCTTGAGATGGGTTGAACCCCTGAATTTGCACAAAAAAATTATAGATGTTTATATTCTTCTTTGTGTTGATCCACATCCACATCTCTGAAGAAACACCTGCCTTAGGGAGAACCACTTCCCTCTTATCCTATTGGGCAAGGCTAGCATGGCTCAAGACACATTTATCCTAGCCCCCTAGGACAGCCCACCACCCTTAGCTGGCCGAGGAGGAAATTCAGGCTCTTCATTGCCAGGAAGCATGAAGGAGCCAAAATTTTCAGTCAGTTGATGAATGATGAAGTTGGTCCCAACTTGGGTGCTATAAAGTTGGTCCTCCTTGCAGGGCTCTGGGCTGGTACCAGCAGGAATGGCCTGATGGCCTGGGGGCATTACTCAGCTTTGGAGACTGGCATGGAATGGTCCATCTAGGACACAGAGGAGGCAGAGGCTCTGACTGTTCCCAAGGGTGCTAAGTGGCACCTTAAGGCTTAAGTGTGTGGACACAGCAAGGCAAGGGACTGAATCTGGTCTGCCAGTGCCTGGAAGTCAGGGACATCTGTGACCAGAGGAGTAACCAGACTTCCAATGTGGGAAAGGCGCTGGGGCACAACTGGACACCTGCAGAAGGGATCAAGGAGATATCAGAGGATTTGGGGAGATATTCAGAGAGTGGAGCACGTTAGGCTTGGTGATCAGGCATGAGGTAGCAACTAAGGGACAGACTGAAGGACCACAAACCTCAGGTTCCCATCTTGGGCCCTGAGGTGAGATTACCTGGGACAGGGCTTTTTATTCTTATTCATTTATTTATTTATTTTTGTGTGTGATACTGGGAATTGAACTCTGAGCTACATCTTCAGCCCTTTTTATTTTTGGGATAAGATCTTGTTAAATTGTCAAGGCTGACCTCAAAATTGTAATCCTCTTGTCTCAGCCTCCCTGGTAGCGAGGATTACAGGTGTGTGCTACTGTGCCCGACTCCGGCTATTTTTTTTTTTAATTTTTAATATTTATTTTTAGTTTTCGGCAGACAAAACATCTTTGTTTGTATGTGGTGCTGAGGATCCAACCCGGGCCGCATGCATGCCAGGCGAGCACGCTATAGCTTGATCCACATCCCCAGCCCCCTGGCTGTTTTTAAACAGCTTTATTGAGGTATAATTAATTAATTGCAGACCATACAACTCACTTATTTAAAAAATATTTTTTTAGTTGTTGATGGATATAATGCCTTTATTTATTTATATGTGGTGCTGAGAATCGAACCTAGTGCCTCACATGTGCAAGGCAAGTGCTCTACCACTGAGCCACAACCCCAGACCCCAGTTCACTCATTTTAACGAACAGTTCATTGAATTTTAATATTTGTTGAACTGTGTATCTGTCACCACGATCCAGTTATTTATTATTATTGTTTTTTGTGGTGCTGGGGATGGAACCCAGGGCCTCATGCAGGCTAGGCAAGCATTCTACCACTTAGCCACATCCCCAGCCCAACTCCATGTTTTAGAATAGTTCCATCACCCCAAAGAGTTCCCCAAAACTGTTTGTAGTGCACCCTGCTCCCACCCCCAGCCCCAGGGACATCCTGACTTGCTTTTGCCCTCTATAGTTTTACCTTTTCTAGAAATTTCATATGAATGCAATATTTGTCCCCTCCCCTTTCCCCTGCCACCTTTTGTGGCATCAGGGATCTATCTCAGCACCTCACACATCCTAGGCAAGTGATCTACCACTGAGCGACACCCTCAGCCCCGGGATTGTACATGTGGCCGTTGTGGAGCAGCCTTCTTTCCTTAACATGTTTTTGAAATTCATCAGTGTTGTTGTATCATAAGTTTATTCTTTATCACTGCTGAACGAATTGTCCCTCCATGCAGTGGTGTATGGGTGGACAGTGTTTATCTATTTTTGGATCCATGGACTGTTGTGTTGTTTCCACTTTGAACAATTATAAATAAAGTTGCTGTGAATGTCTGGGTATGTGTCTTTGTGTGGATGCAACACATTCATCCTCTCAGGTAGATACCTGAGTGGAATGACTAGGTCATATGGTACATGTATGTTTAACTTTTTAAGAAACAGCCAAGATTTTTTTTTTTTCTTCCAGAATGGCTGCACCCTTTTGCATCCCTTCCAGCAATGCACCAGAGTTCCAGTTGCTTCTCATTCTCACCAGCACTTGATATGGCCTGTTCTTACTATTAGCCATCCGTTTTTTATCCCCGATCCCAGGGCCTTGTGCATGCTAGGCAAGCACTCTACCAGTGAGCTACATCCCAGCTCTTCTTAAAAAAATTTTTT